AAGCAAAAGCTTTGCATGTCTAACTTTTTTGTCTTGCCCAGCTTGCCTAACTCTGTGTTTGCATCTGTAGAACAAGAGTATGGTGAAAAGTAATGCTTTGTTGTGTTTTGTAGATGCTGATGACTGTACGTAGTAAATTTTAAGTGCTGTGAAGATGTACACTTGTGCTAGGAAAGGCCTGTGAAAAGTAAAACATTTTAAGGAAAACAGGAAGGAGTCTGAATGTGAAGTCTAAAATTAGTTGATGTGCACCTAGTGCCAGCTTCTGCTTCCCACTTACTAAATTCTGTAACACACAGCTTTGTTTTTTCCCATGAGTTGGGAAGGGGCTTCTTATAAGAAAGGGTATTGAAAAAAATGGGGTAGCTTTGCAGAATTTCCATCTACAGAAAGAACTCAACAGTGGTGGTTAGGGTGCTGTTTTCCTGAGTTCGCTGTTTTGCATGCTGACCAATACGGTTTCATTATTACCTTGTACTCTTGTATTTCTTCTTTTTCTTCCAGTATTCTCTGCACCTGAATTCAGGCTAGTTTGCTTGATGAGCCAAATTACACCAATAAGTATTTCAATTGCTTAAAAATTTTCTACATAACTAGAGATCATAAATTTAGAAGGAATCGTAATCATCTACTCAGATCACTTGACATAAGTGAGAGAGTGGTACTTAATTCATTTTTCTAGTTTAGACGCATCTGTAACTGGGGACTGGCTGGTTTTCTACAAAGAGCTTTAGCAATCAGGCCTCATTGTTAGTGTCAGTTAAGTTTTTGCAGTGTAGGGCAGCCTAAGATATTTAAGTCTTACGTTAGCCTGAGCTTGTCTAGCTTTGAATTCCAGCCACTGCCTATTGCTGTAGCTTTGTTCTCCAGACTGGTGATTTTTACCAAACTCTAGTTCCCCGTGCAAGGACTTAAACTGATATCTGTCTCCTCTGTGCTTTTCTCATAGACAAAGCTTCTTGAGTGGTTTGCTGTAAGGGGGTATTTTCTAACAGATGTTTTGTTGTTGTTATTGCTGTTCTTATCTCAGCTGCTTAATTGAATTTTGGATATATTCTAGATGCAGTATTAGTCACGTACCTTCTGAGTACAAGGGTGATATGGCTGCCTAACTAAATATTCATTTGATGTTTATCTGGGAATTACATTCACTGTCGTACTTGCGGTGTTATATTAGAATACCATGTTTAAATGATACCTGCTCTGGTTTTCAGGCCTATTTCAGCATAGGTCCCATTCCATCCCTCTGGCATGGATAGTTTCTTGGATAAATTTGAAGTTATATCTATCTATAAACTGAGCTGAAATTTGTTTAACATTTGTTTTCTTGCTCCTGTACTACTGAACTATATAACTGATCTAGCTTTTTGATTACTTACTGCCTTCTCAATCTCTCTTGTGATACATTATTTATCAGTAACTCTTTTCTTTCTTTTAGAACCATCATGAAAATATTTACTGTGATGCCAGGAATCCAACTTCACTAGAATCTGATCCTCTAGTTGCTTGATAATACCCTGCCCTTAGTTGAATACTGGGACTCATTAGATAGCCAATTTATAATCTGTTCAGTGCTCTTTTGCTTTTACATTCTAATTTGTTTCTTGAAATATTGATTAGTGTAAAGTCAGAGGTATACTGAAGTTTGTCTCTTTTAGAGCTGTATTGTAAAATAAATTTTATATCCTTTCTAAGAAGATTTCAGGTAGTTGGAGACCAGCAGGTTTTCTTCAAACTTCTCTTTGTAATGACTAGATACTCGTTCTGATTCTCAGATAGAAGAATTTAAGCATCATGTTATTTCTTCTGGGACTCACCTAGTGCATTTTTGGGTAAATAAACTGTAGGTAACAAAAGCAGAATCAGTTAAAAAGAATTAACAGCTATTAGGTGCTGCTCTTCCTTAAGTGACTTTTAGAATTTAATTTTTTTTCTTCTTAAAGCCTCATAATCAGTATTAAATGATTCAAAGTAGCATATCTGTAGCCTCATAATCAGTATTAAATGATTCAAAGTAGTGCATATCTGTTTTAAGTCGTTGAGTGAAAAAGCAGTCTTAAAGCTGAGTGCTGTTGAAAGCAAGCAAGTAGTGTCTGGACTTAATATCTGGTTAAAATGGGGCAGTGTTATGCTGTCTTTCTGTTTACTGCTGATGTGACCGTGCATTGAAATCGTGTTTCAGCAGGTTCTTTCTACTGTAGATTATCTTCCAAATCATTCCTATAGAGTGATGGATGACTGCTTGAACTTCTGTCAAGTTGTATGATGACTGCATAATTTAGAAATCTGTATGTAGCATAAACACATTAAGGTTCATGTCTGCATGTTGCTTTGTCAGAAATCTGTTGTCTTCAGGGTCAGAGGCCTTTCTAGTTTTTCAGTCTACACACCTGAGCAGACGCTACCAGTTATCTCATTGCTGCTTACTATAATTGGCCTGGATTTCTCTCCGGTAGCAAAGAGGCCATCTGTGTTCCGGTTTCCTCTTTGGAAAGTGTGATATGGGAGGCTTGAGCAATGTACGAGATATATCTTGGTATCTGACATGAGGTTAGGAAATGTATATAAGTAAAGTCAGAGGTCAGCACCTAGGTTCAGCTTTTCTGTGTGGCCAACAAGTTGGTGCCACGTTTCTTAGGGTACAGTTTTGGTGAAAATGCTTACTGAGAGGACTTCCTCTACCGTACCAGACTGTGTGTCTGAAACTAATTGCTGGGGGGGGAAAAAAAGGGAAGTCTGCACAAGACTGTCTCCCTTGAACTGGCTGGCGAACTTGAGAGGAAAATGGTCACTGTTGTTCTTTTTTTTCTGTCTGTGCTCCAGATTCATCTTCCCCATGAGCAACAGTCTACTGTAGATTCTACTACATGTTAAGGTGTTTGAGCTTCTATATAGATAATAATGCTTTACACTTGCCTGACTGCTTCAAAGGTACTTCAGACTTATTAGCCACTGGTCAGTGGTAATTGCAGGAAATGGAGAGGGGCCTTTGAGCCACTGGTCTATCCTTCTGTATGACCAAATTCTTGGAATAAGCTTTCCTTAATGAACGAAGAATGAAATTTAACATTCTTGGAGGGATCATGTAGCTTGACTAGAGATGTGCTGTGGTTTGTCTTGCTGTCTGTGGCTTGCTTAGCCTTCCTTTTTATGAGTAGCCACTAAAAATGATCCAGCTTGCACAACAATGTCTTCTGTAAGCTTACGATTCAGAGTTCCTTAAAGCACAGCTCTCTACTCGGAGGCTGTTCATGAGGCAGAACTATGTCATATGTTTCTGTGAAGTGATTCATTACTTGCAGTGGAAGTGGCAGCTAAATGCCTCCAACTCCGCTGATTTTAATTTGAAATGATTGTCTCTGTGGCTTTATGCAAGTTCATGTGCAGTTGTTTAGTGGCAAAAGGCAACTTCATTGGCATTTCTCTGCCTCTTTTTTTTAAAAAATATATATATTCGGCATGTAAGTGTACAACTAGAACACTTTGTTCTTGAAACAAAAATTGAACTGATATTCTGTGTATGAAGTTTTACTGACTATTAAAACAAAGGGGCTACTTTATTGTCCTTCTCCTTTTACTACCCATTGATAAGCTAAGAAACTGTTGAACTAAAGCAGTGTAAGCAGACTTAGTCCTGGTGATCTGAGTGTACCAAATTGCAGTTGAGAGAAAAATCACTGGCAAAGGCACAGAATGTGACTAAGTCTGGAGGCTTTGAACTTGGCTGTAAGGAGGAGGTTGACTTCTGTGAGGCTGATGTTAGCTTGGAGTTAGATTGCTGGCCTGCATCAGGGATGAAAGGAAGAAAAAGCAATCAGAATGAATGATTTTTGGAGATTCCTGCATGAGGTTCCTGAAACCCAATGAGGAAAGAGCTGATGTGATAGGTTGGTTATAAAGGCTTGTGAATGAAGTGGGTTATTTGGGATCTTGTTAGTTGAACTGAAAAGTAGTTGCAATAAGACTAATCTTACTTTTTTTTTTTTTGCATAAAATGGAAGATAAAAAGCATGTTCAAACCTTTCTGTAGTGAGGATGTGGTTCACTCAAGTGAAGTTAGCAGCCTCTTGTCTGGGTAAATTATGCATGTTCAAGAAATGACTATGGTGAGCAGGGTTAGAAGGAGTTGACAGCAGGAGTTGCACTGGTCAGCTATGGGCACTGTTCCTTAAAGTCAAGTGGGAGTAAATACTGTACCTATCTTGTACCTCTTGAAAAGAGGTCAGCTGGGGGAAATGGAAAAAAAAATGTGTGGATTGCAGTGTCAGAACCATCTTCCTCCTTGCAGCTGTGCACTGCTGCTTCTGCCATAGTTCATGGCTGCTCTAAACTGTCGCTGCTGATTTAAGAAGTGATCAAACCCTGTTTCTACCTCAACCTGCTTGGCAGCTTTAACGAAGGGTTTGTGTGTGAGGATGAAAAAATGTTTGTGTAGCCATACAGTGAACCAGGTAAGGGAAATTATCTGGGTTAAAATTAACCAGGAAACAAGGAAGTTTTAATTTGGACACTTATGCCACTTCGGTTTGCTTTGTAGCTGAATGAATGCTTGTGCTGCCATAACAGGGAGGAAAGGATGGCATGGGAATAGAAGGAAAAGTGAAAAGAGGATAGATATTGTGGCAGCTGTCCACTCCGTGGGATAGGCTAAGCAGACTGAAATAATATCACTGATGTGCATAAATAGTGCATTTGTTCTTTAATTAATGATTTGACTATTTAATAACTTTATTCTCATCTGCCAGAAGATGATCATATCATATAGAACCATAGAAGGGTTAGGGTTGGAAGGGTCCTTAAAGATCATTTAGTTCCAAGCCCCCTGCGATGGGCAGGGACACCTTCCACTAGAATACCTTGATACCTTGCCCTAATACCTCTTGTACACTTTTTTTAACATCTGACTTTTTTCTTTTTCTTTTTTTGTTTTTTTTTTTTTTCAGACGATGGGCACTGCATATTAAGCAGAGGTGGAAGACTGAAGCCCATTTGGGGGCAGAATGAGTTTAAAAGATGCTGACAGTGCAGTTTGCCAGGCAAAGGCAGCCTATAATCTTCATATTTACCCCCAACTCTCAACAGAAAGCGCTCCCTGCTGCAAAGTGACAGCAACCAAGGACAGCACATCTTCAGATGTCATCAAGGATGTGATTAATATCTTAAACTTGGATGTCTCAAAACATTATGTGCTCGTGGAAGTGAAAGAATCGGGTGGTGAAGAATGGGTACTTGATATAAATGATTCTCCTGTTCATAGGGTTTTACTTTGGCCTCGTCGTGCTCAGGATGAGCATCCACAAAAGGATGGGTACTACTTTCTTTTACAAGAAAGGAACACTGATGGGTCCATCAAATATGTCCAGATGCAATTGCTTTCCAAGGAGACAGATGCTCGGCGATTGGTTGAAAGGGGTTTTCTTCCGTGGCATCAGGAGGACTTTGATGACTTATGCAATCTCCCCAACTTAACGGAGACAACACTCCTAGAGAACCTCAAATGCCGCTTTCTAAAACACAAAATTTATACTTATGCTGGAAGTATTCTGATTGCAATTAACCCTTTCAAGTTCCTGCCCATTTATAATCCTAAATATGTCAAGATGTATGAGAATCATCAGCTCGGGAAGCTGGAGCCTCATATTTTTGCCATTGCTGATGTGGCTTATCACACAATGCTTAAAAAACATGTTAATCAGTGCATAGTTATATCAGGTGAAAGTGGGTCTGGGAAAACTCAAAGCACAAACTTCTTAATTCACTGCCTCACGGCGCTGAGCCAGAAAGGGTACGCAAGTGGTGTGGAGAGAACTATTCTAGGAGCTGGACCAGTTCTGGAGGTAAATTTATGCTAAAATTGCCTTCTGTGAAAATTGTTTCTTGAAAACTTCAAATAACTGCTGTTGAATACTACTTTTGAGTCACCTGCTTGGTTTAGGCTTTAAATATCACTGGGCTGCATTGGTATTTGGCTGTGTTGCTTGACTGCTTCTAATTGATTTTCCTTAATTCATCCTTCCGTTCAGTTGACTTCCTGTTGCTTTTAATTTATATCTGACTTAACTTTCCACCACTAAACACTAATATTCTGGGACAGAGGTTACCTGTGTTTTCCCTCTTAAAGTTTTGATGGCATTTGAATCAAATTGTAAGTAAATGTTTTCATAAAAAGATTGTTCCACTGCAATATTAACTGGTTAGTCTAATCATGCCTTTGTGTGTAAGCACGTCCTGCAGCAATTTTATGAACTCACTTTTTGAGGGAGTTATTTCCTTTCTACAACTGTTTGGGTTTTTGTTGTTTTTTTTTCTTTTTTTTTTTGAAGAGAGCAACATTGTTAGTTGGGGAGAAAGTGTGAGTCGGATTTGGCTTTTAGTTGCTACAGCATTTCTAACAGAAAGCAAAACTAAATGTGTGAGAAGGCGTACAGCTGGTCTTGCATTAGGTAATGGCAGGACAAACTTAAACTGATCTTTTACACTTCATCCTCTCCCTTTTACTCTCATCTGAAAAGAAAAACTCTGAAAGCTTGGATGGATGTAATGGTCACCCACAATAAAATCTTCAACAGCAAGGAGCTTGATCACAGCCATTGTAATTTTTAGGTTTAAATAATCTCAAATGTAACAACACTTTAACGAAAAAAGAAATTTAAGCGCTTTTTTTTGGTTTTACACTGCTAGGTAAAATATGAAAAAGCAATGAAATTAAACTTTAAAATATGTTACATTGATAAATGTGATTTGAAAGCTTTTCTGTAAAGAATGAGGAATATATGCAAGTTCTTTTTTGTCTTGCTTTCTGCTGCTTGAAAGAAGAAGTAAAATTGTTTGAGGTTTGTTGGTTGCTGGAGTTTAAGTTCGCAGTTCTAAACAGAAAACAGGAAGGGGTCACTGTGGAAAGCACTGTTTGATCAGCTGATCTTTCTGCCTTTGATAAAATTAACTGTTTCAGATCCTGGCCTACCGGATACGATACAGCTGTGTCAAACCAGGTAGAGATGTAAAATGTTGTGATGCTGTTCATCCACTGAATGAGAAATGCACATGTCCCTAGATTCAAAATTAAAATTAATGACTTTGGAGTCACAGCCAGATGTTGTGTATGTCCAGGAGTGTTCATGAAGAGACATTTGTGGTTTTCTACAGTAAGATTGGTTGTCATAAATACTGCAGCTTCTTCAGACTTCCACTGAGCATCTAGTAATGCATTTCATGAGAAAATAGTCTTGCTAGCTAGACGTACGGTGACCGATTGAAAGCTTAGCTTGCAAACTTGCCAAATGGATTCTAACATGGCCGTTGGAGTACATATTATCTAAAATATGGGCTTCTCTTCTAAAATTCTCAGAGAAACTTCTCGCTCTACTTCTCTGAGGGCATTTGTCAGTCACAAATTGATTCAGTGTGAACTTGTCCTCCCAAATATTGCAAAAGATAAAGGGGTTTATGACAACTAAATATGAAAAAATGTAGGAGCATCTGAATCCTAAAATGTCTTTCAAAATTGAATATATGTTTTTGTATTAAAAGTATTATTCATTGACTTGAAATTATGGAGAAAGAAACCTTTTTGAAACACTGGGGTACCTATGATTTTGGTACAACTATATTTAAGGTAGTGGAAATAAACTTCTCTGTTCACATAAGTTTAGCACATATTAAAAAGTGATGCTATGGTAGGTTTAGAACATTAGAGAGGTAAAATCAAACTATCCTACTTTGGATACTGCAGAGCGGATTCAGTGGACAGTGAAGCTTCCATGTTTCCCAATATGCAATTCCACTCACTAAGTGTAATCTAAAAACCAAAGAACACACACAAAAAAAACCCAAGTCAAATCTTGGTCTGGGAGAGGAATGTACGGAAAGCTTACTTTGCTTTGTGGAAGTTAAACTGACGAAAAACTCTTCTGTTAGAGTTGGTCACTTCTAAATCCAACTGCGGTGACTCATTTGGGTTTTTACTTAAGGGAACTGAAGTGGTAAAAGGGAATTTTTATTAAATGGATGTTTCAGGGGATTTTTTGCATGAACAGTTTTGTAGTGTCTCTAAACTATTTGAGAATGTTCTATTTAATTTTGAAGTTTTA